CTATGGATGATTGTAGCAATAAATTCACATCCGTAGATGTTGTTCTTTCAAAAATTTAGTCTAGTCCATTGAGGACACATGTAATAAAACTGCAGGAGTCTGAACAATTTCAAATATCTGTCAGCTGGTGAGAAAACTGCCATCATCCTAACTTGCACCACTTCTTTTAACATACAACACCTACTATATTAGACAATAGTAATATTAGGACATAAGAAATTGTTAATAAGTTACAGAAAAAATTTGTAATTATTCTACCTCAAAAAAATGGCTTTCCTACACTGGTTCTGATATTCAACTACAGTCCTAGGTTTTTTTCTTTTTTTTTGATCACTTCTTTGCATTGTCTAGCAAGCCACCATTAAGCGTGCAATATGGAACTCCCTAAAGAAGGCTGCTTATTAGAGTCTCTCACTCCTTCCTCACCTTCATTTAACTAACTTTCCTTAATACTTTAACCAAATAACTCAGGATGCCTTGTTCAGCTGTGCTGAAAGAGGTTTATCCTTATGAAAAGAAGAAATAAAAGGCTATTGCAAATTTGTTTTCTTTTGTATAAAAAGCTAACCACATGATCAATGTAAATATTTTCCCCATACAAGTCTTCTGACAATTAGCACGAAAAATGCAAATCATATTGGTTAGAACAGGCAAAGCAAACATTTTCCTATAATCCCGTTTTACTTCAAATTTGGCTATATTAAACTATACCCTGATACATCTCAGAAGAACAAATGGTGGGTATGTGAGTAGAATATAGATGCCTCACTTATTTTTTTTTTTTTTAAGTTTAAATCAAACGTTAAGGAACCTGACCCAGCAGCGTTTAGTCACCAGAAGAAAAGCAAACTGGCAGAGCGAGGAGAAGGCAACAAAACCCAAACAGGCTGAAAAGCAACTGTTAAATAGTTGTTAAATCAGTCCCACATTTATAAAGAGTAGGATCAAGGTATCTACAGAAATTATCTGGATTTGAAAGTGAGGAAAACCTATTTTTTCCCCAGCTTCTTAACTTTTTACTGCAGCACTGAACTACAATTAGATCACAATCAGAGATTATTTTGTGGAAGTATTCTAATGATATCAGTGTATAAGATGTCCCAATGTCATGTATTCAATCACAAACTCAACTAGAACATCAGGTCTGAAATTACAATACATTAACTAGTCATTTTAAAGTCTACTATAAAAGTTCAAAGGCCCCTTCTCCAATGAGCTAGCTAGTTTAGAAAAAAGTCTTGTTTTTCGAGACTGTCATAATTCATTGTAATTTAGCCACACCTTCAGGACCTCACTATACTTGAAAAAAAGTGAAACTTCTAATAGGCAATGCAAGCTAAAAAACACTTAGAAGAAACAACAACTAGAGTCAGGCAGCTACAGTAATGATCTCTTTAAGAACAACTTCTTAATCTGAATCTTAGGCAGAGATGAACAGTAGTTATACCAGCCTAGATGATACTGGGTCACCTTGAAAGGCATACCAGAAAAGATAAGCATCATCCAGCTCTTATCAAACCTGAGGCCATATTATCTTTATCAGCATTTGTGAAAGCTTTGGGTGAAATATATACCACCACATGTAAAATCGATTTCATGCTTCCTCATTTCTGCACCAAATATCAAAAGTCATAACACAACTTAAGATAACACAACTTCTGTCTGAACAGTGCTGATATTTGGGATGGTGATAACAAATATAGGGGCAGAACAGCTCCAAGATCCTTCCCTCATACAGCACATGCAAAAAAAAAGAATCTTGTACCGATGAACTTGAGACAAAATCTGTATTTTCCAGTATTAGAACCATCAACTGCTCAGAGCTCACAGATTCCTAGTGATGTTGAATTAACTATAGCGTGAGTCATACTGAGGTCTCTATGTACCTCTCTCCTATCAACCTGATAGCCTTCTACAATGGCATGACTGGCTTGATAGATGAGGAAGAGAGCAGTGGATGTTGTTTACCTTGACTCTGGTAAGACTTCTAACACTGTTTCACAAAACATCCTCATAGGCAAGCTGATGAAGTACAAGCTAGATGAGCACAGTGAGGTGAATCAAAAACTAGCTGAATAGCAGAGCTCAGAGGGCTGTGATCAGTGGCATGAAGCCTAGTTGGAGGCCAGTAACTAGCAGTGTACCCAGGGCTCAATACTGGGTCCAATCCTATTTAACGTCTTCATTAATGACCTGGATGATGGGACAGAGCAAACCGGCAGCAAGTTTGCTGATGATAAAACGCTGGAAGGAGCAACTGATACACCACATAGTTGCGCTGCCTTTCAAAGGGACCTCAACAAGAGGTGATCCTCCCCCTTTATTCAACACTAGTGAGGCCACATCTGGAGTGCTGCGTCTAGTTCTGGGCTCTCCAGTACAAGAGAGATATGGAGTCACTGGAGCAGGTAAAGCAAAGGGCTACTAAGATGATTAAGAGACTGGAGCATCTCTCATGTGAGGAAAGGCTGAGAGAGCTGGGCTTGTTCAGCCTGGAGAAGAGAAGGCTCGCAGGAAGAGTATCTTATCAACGTGTTTAAATATCTGAAGGGGGGGGAGGCGTAAAGAAGACGGAGCCAGACTCTATTCAGTAGTGCCAGTGACAAGGCGAGAGACAGCGGGCACAACTGAAACACAGGAAGTTCCATCTGAATATAAGCAAAAACTTTTTTTACTGCAAGGGTGACTGAGCGCTGGCACAGGCTGCCCAGAGAGGTTGTAGAGTCTCCATCCCTGGAGATAGTCAAAAGCAGTATGGGCACAGTCCTGGGCAACAAGCTCTAGGTGACCCTGCCTGAGCAGGGTAGTCGGACAAGACGATCTCCAAAGGTCCCTTCCAACTTCAACCATTCTGTGATTCTGCAGTAACTAAGGCCCACGCTCTTCAACTTCTCAGGGCACCTACTACAATGTAGCTATTTTGTTTGAGAGTTGAGCAAAAACTCTAACTCATATCCAAAGCTCAAAACTGTAACTATCTTCTGTGGTATTCCAACAAATGCAATGAAATGAGACTTATGCAACAGTTTCAGATGCCGAGCCAATATAATTGCTTGCCGCCACCAAAAGAGTTTGTTCCTCCTCCCTGTCATCTTCCCAAGGTTCTTCCTCATACAACCTGAGTTCTGGCACTCACTGCACCTCTCTGAAACCAACTGAGCTTATTAAACATAGCAAGAAATAAACAAGCTTTGGGGGGAGAGGGCTCCTCTCTGAAGCTAGGACAGCTGACTGAAGAATTCAACAAGCACTATGCTCAGCACAACACAAGGGTATTTGTTTAATACATTGATTGCTAAAATAAGCAAATTTGATTAATCTGAAATGTCTGACATCACATCTCTTTTATCCATTTTAAAAGTTTGGGGTTTTTTTAATTTCAAAACTTATAAACATGAAATTTAGCAAATACTAGGGGTTCAGCATGACAACTGTTTACCGTGAAAGAAACTGCACAGTTGTGCCATTATCAATCCATACCTCAACACACGTGCCTTCACACCCATGTATATTGCTATTAATACAATAATATAAGATATAGCTTAATACATGAGCAAAGGAACTGCAAAGTACCTTCCACTGCTGGACCCCAAGTTCCCATTACTCACCTTGAGCCTGGTGGAAAATCCGGAAGGGAAATTTTCCACCATTTTAGTGAGTTATATTGTCTTGTGGAGGGTTTATCTACATCACCACAGGCAACAGGGTCAGCAGATAATGAGATCATCCCCTCTTTCAGCAAAAGATAGCTGTTAAACTGGCTCAGATGCCCACAGATGAAACTTGCAATCACATTCTGTCCTTCAGCTAAGGATAAGCAGAGTATCCATCCCCTTTACCACAAAAGCACTGATACTTGGTTTATCCCACAGTGAGTTGGTTAATGGAGCTAAATTCCCAAACGCTAACCTTTAGAGGCAAAAAAGTGTGAATCTGAGTTCATTCAAGTAGCTAAATCAGCTAAAGGGAAAGTCAGATGAACCCCTGTGCCAAAAGAGGAAGAAGCACAGGCTGCTAAGGGCAGGAAGACAGACATAACAGTGCCAAGTTACTGTCCACCAACAGTCTAAATGAGCCTAAACCTACTCTTCAAATACCTCCACAACACCTTTGCAATTGCAAAGCCCAAAGGCACTTGAAAGCACACAAGTATAGAGTTGCATGGGACAGATCTAAAGTCCTTTTCCCACGGTCATCATTTTCTATAAAGTTTAGAGTCTTGTGAAACTCACTTTTTTTTTTTTTTGCTCTGCTTATTAGAAATAGTCATGCTTCAAACAAACAAGAAGAGATAACCATATCGAAAGATAGCTTAATCAAATTTTAAATATAAGAAAAATTAACTTACAACATGAGTTATATACTGAAAAGAACTATGCTAGTTACAGAACACATTTAGTTTAAAGCTTCTTGCTCTTCTGACAAGCTGCTTTCATAATCTGACAACCTAATGCATCTGAACAACTGCATCTTTAACAAGAAATTTCAATGTTTTGATACAACTTTAGGGACATGATATACATCTTAACGTACTGTAGCTTAAAGCACATTTGAAAATAGCTGTTTCAGCACTTTTTGATGAATACTCTCCTGAAATCCTACAAAATAAAGGAACTTCAATTAAAAAAAAATTAAGACTTAACTACTAAGCATACCTGCCAGTTTTTATTAAAAGTTACATCATGGTAATTCATCAACAACTTTTCATTATATTCAGATGACTTTTTTTACCAAGGTTAGGAAATCTCAATTTAAGGAAGTAATACAATAGAGAAAATTTATTCTTTGTAACAACACTTTGAGACTAACATGTTCAAAAGCATAGTTAATAGGACAGAAGGAAAAAGCTCAGCTGAGGATAATTTTATTATAATCACAAAACAATGCATGTGAAGCAATCGATTATTTTGCTTTGCTAGCTTGCTAAATAGCCAAAAATACTTATTAGCTGCACCTGTATGCAATTGAATAATGAAGTGCTATTTAATGTCAGAGCCTACCTAAAAGCAGCTTCCCAAAAGCAGTTCATTCCACAAACATCAGAGGGCAGCATCCAATAGGAATTCCAGAAAGATACAGACAAATTCTTACACCTAACAGGATGAGACAGAAATAACCTATATAAATGTTACTGATTTTACAGCAAAGTTAAATAGATTATTTTCTAGCTCAAACATAACTAGAGTAGTTAGGTACCGGGCAGAAGATTGCCTACATAATAGAGCTTGGATAAACAACTGTTCATTAAGATGATGATAAACTAGTTGAAAATATACACAAAAGAGGAGGTATTAGGTGCCAATTAGAAGGAATTATTTTAAGGAAGGAATGGTCCCCATCCTGACTTTAACCTTTCCCCCTCTCCACCTCACATATTTTCAGAGAGAAAAGCAAAGTGGTTGGGATTTTTATGAGGGTCATTCTATGCTCTCTACTTAGTATGAGCCCGCAGGTAATGAATGAAAGGCAACACTTCTGCTGCAAAGAACTCCTTCACCTTTGCAACACAGGTGTCTATTCCAAGCAGAGGAGTAAATATTTCCTTTTCAAAGAAACATTGTCCATTTAAATAAAATCCCTATTCACCCATGACCCTTTATTCCATGCAAACCTGCAAAAATGATTTTTAAGGAAAAAGTAGGGTTTTCAGTGGCAAGGAATTCCATTGTTTCATAACAAAATGCAATATGGAAATAATCACCACATCTGGTGAGTCTTCCTTCTCCATATTAGTGACAAGACTAATATTTTCTTGATTTGTGCTACGCTAACAACTGAAAGAGCAGGTTTTACTGGTCCACCACAAAATTTTATGCAGCAGTAATAGAGGAAATATTTTAAAGAGCAATAGAAGTGCATATTCAAAGGTTCTGGTAAGGAAATCAACATCAAGTTTAAAATCTTAAATGAGAAAGTGGAATATTTCAAAGCAAGGGGTATACTCTCGAGTGACTTCCTACGCTCCATATTTATGTCCTGGTGGCATGGTGCCAACAGTGTTTACCCTCCTTTGAAGGTTAGTATGCGTGAATGGAAGACATGGGCAAGAAGAAAAAACATACAGAAGTTTGATAGTAAAAAGATACTCAAGGACTACAGCACAGAAAACTGTATTGCAAGTTAGTTCTGCAAGTTTCAAATCTATCAGTGTCATCTTGGTAATGTCATCCGAAATTTATGAAGTCCAATGTTTTACTAGATTTAATAGATTAATGTAGTATGGGGAATGGTAAGCTGTATAATTTCTTCTTTTCTTAAGATTGACACTTGAGAAAAATGACCTGATAAGAACACAAGGCATTTCACAAAACCTCATTAAGCGTTGGGAGGGGGGGAGTCCTCTGGTAGAGGATCTGGGAAATCCTCATATGCTGTAGATACACATGGAAATGAAAGTATTAGTGAAATAATTCTATCTTGTGACATAAGAATGGTCTCCACAAATAAATACCCATGTATCAAAAAAGGTAATGTGGATTTGATTGGTATACTTGCACTTCTCTGGGGAAAATATATGGTATAAACCACAAGTTCTCTCTGCCAGATTCTTTCTTACACTATTCTTTGTGGCTTTTGAAGTTTCTAAAAGATCTCAAGGTACATTAAGAATTTCTGCTTATCTGAAGAACAATCTTTATGATCTCCACTGTGTACCTTTTTGAAGTAACTGTCTCTCACTAGTTTTAGAGTAAATTAATAGACTGTCTCTCAAAAAGAGTTTTCTGCTTTGGAAGATTCTTTATTAGACAGAGGTTTCCTCTTCCAGCTATCATGAGCGCTATGTTTTTCTCAGCTGCCTTAAGCTACCACCTTATCTAGAACAGCATGGCAAGAGGCAAGTTTAAATTAATGCTGAATGAGCCCACAGGTAATGAATGAAAGGCAACACTTCTGCTGCAAAGAACTCCTTCACCTTTGCAACACAGTGATTTCTAAGCTTTCTCCCTGTTAGGCCTTTCCCATATCCCATTTAACAATACAGCAGGGTTGTCAGCCTGGTTCCTAAGTTTCCTTTGTTTCAAATGAAAACTGAACTGTTACTGCGTTAAGATACTCATGTATAACACGGGCATTATTTTACCTAACGCTAGACTAAGACTTTTTCCTGCAAATCAAAGTCTCTCTCAACTGATCATATGCTACAACAATCCATAAGGCTTTCGCATAGAAAGGAATAAAACACTGGAATCAACAGATGGCATTTTGTTATAGTTATTCCCAATAATATAATTTAAAAAGCCATTCATCAAGATTTTTTTTACTTGAAAGTTAGTAAAATAAACTTGAGAAAAGCTTAGAAGACAAATAAGGTGTCACAAGTGATTTACAAAGCTAGTGAGATGCATACTCTCTTCATCAAAACAGGCACAGCAATTACTACCCGAAAGAGCATTAGTCAGGCACGAATAGTTACCTTCAGCATTAAGGTGGATATTTTGCTCCTAACTATTAGATTATGTGATTAAAAGCTGACCTCTATAAGCACAAAGAAAAAAAAAAGGAACAATGACAGGTGGAAGAAATTCAGTAATCTAATCAGGGCCTATGGAACACCCTGACCAGGCTCCTCCCAGACCTATCAAAGGAGAGTAATCAGCCCACAGTGCGAGACCCACCAGATGAGTCAAAGGGAGAGGCTCTCTGTATCACCTTACAGGGTGTGCAGGGCTTATTATGCGTCTCTGGGGAAAAGTATTTTAAGACTATATACAACTTATTAAATAAGAAAGGGGTTTGAGGAAGTATGATAGTAAGGATGTTTAGGGAAGGGACCAAGGTGAATTGGGGTGAAACAAGCATGGGAAAATAGAAGAAGGGGATAAAAAGGGGCTGGTTACATGTGAACAGCCTGCCCGTCAGTACAATTGGCCTCATGAGCACAGTCTCCTTACTAAACTCAATTTCTGCTTTTCCTGAGTGAAGGAGTACTCTGTACTGTGCATATGGGTGTGTGTATGGAGGCATAAGTACCAGCACCTGGAAAAGGGGCCACAGATCATAGCAGCCCATGAGCCTGGGGTGCCAGCAACCGGAGAGACCTGAGAGTATGCACATTCTGTATGGACATATATGTTCATGTGTGTAATCACTGGCAAATATCAAACCAGACTAGCCAGTAAGTAGAACAAGAGGCTTGGGAGCCAGGTATCAGGGAGGCTGTAAGTCTACAGAGATCAGAGGGGGTCTGAGTTGGCTAGTGGAAGAACCAGGAGGTCCAAAACAGCTACCAATGGATTAGGAGGCTGAGAGCTAGCTATCAAAATGATCAGGGGGTCCAAGCCAGCTACTGGAGAGAGACTGGTGTTTGGGAGCTGGCTACTCTTAAGGCCATAGGTCTGGACCAGCTATTGGAGAAACCTACTTGCCTGTGTGTGAGGCAACTGGGAGACCAAGCTATCCAGTGGCCAGCAACTGGGGAATGTCTAACGTCAGTTACTGGAGAGAACCACAGTGGGTCTGTACGTGTGAGTGTGTGCAAGCAGGTCCAAGTACCAGCAACTGCAGCTGGGCTGCAAGCCTTGCAGGTTTGCAGATGTCGGTGCCAACAACTGGGGAGACCAGTGGATCTAGGGGCCAGGTACTGGATAGACTGTCTAAGGCCAGCTACTAGAGGAATCTACACTGTATATATATTTACTAACAGGCGTTTATCCTGATCAGCCAGAGGAAGAACCAAATCAAGCTGCTTGTGTTGTTTACAGTTGTGCAAGTGCTGTTTTCTGTGTTGATTTCTGTGGCGAACCATATCAATAGATATGTACACAGGTACTGTGGGCATGTGTGCCTACTGGGAATACATTCACAGCCTTACTACTAGCCAGGCCTGGGGTCACAGAGCTGCAGCAGCCTCATCTTTATCAGACTGCTGGATCGGCAACTCCTAACACCAACCATTGTCAAAAATATATTAAAAAAAAAAAAAAAAGAAAAACAAAAATATAAAACTCTAAAACCACTGGGATCAAAGACAAGCATTCTCAAAGATTCACTTACCAGTTCAATGCACTTCTTTAGACAACCAGTCATAGCAAAGGTGTCCAAGTTATGACTTGAAAAGAAGGATTCAGGACAACCTTAAATTTGTGTGCAAAATGCTTACCAATGCCTGAATCACATTCACTAAGATTAAGGCCCTGAGTTCAAGCAAGTCAAGTTTTAATCGTAAGGAAGCCCCAAAAATAAGTGGTGAAAAATGTATTTTTGTTAAGCGCAGTGGTGGGCTTACAACTAACGGAGACCACAACTTTCATCAAATATACTTTTCAGGCCAGATAGCGTATTTTATACTACCATAACTTCATTGCAAATTTAACAGTTTGTCCAAATGGCCAAGGTTGCAATCAACTGATCCGAGGCATGACTAATGCATTCCTGTTAGTATTCAATTAATGACATAAGTCTAATCAGCTGCAATAATTGACTAACTGAGTTCTTTTGGTGGCTCTCCTGCAGTATATCCTACAATATGCAGCAAAATAGGAAGTCTGCATTTTTTAGTTCTGTCCTGATCATACTGGCAGGAGTCACAAGTTGAGAAGATAAGAGCAGCTCAGCTCAACTCCCAGTTGTATTGAGAAGTTCTGATTCTCCTGAAGAATTTTTCCTGAATATCTGCAGCAATATCATGAATGTTTGAACGTATTTTGTCAGAAAAGCAGTAGCTTTATTATACGGAAACAGCAGATTCCAAATTTAAGATCAGATGTCAGACACAGAACATAATATTTTTCCAGTTAAAAAGTTAATGTTTCATTAGTTTACAACATTGCTATGTAAAATAAGATTTGCTAGTCATCTTCAACAAATTCACTTGATTTTTTTTAAATGAAATTTCAGCTTCAAATAGCTCAACGCTTCATCCTTTTAAAAGTTTTACTCATGTTTTGAAACTTTTAGAAGCTTCTAGGCCAATTTCTTAAGGCATGGGAATAGCTCAGAAGTATTCTGGTGAAAGCGCTGGTTAGGTTCTGACACAGAGAAAGACAGCTGCATACAGCGCAAGGAGAGAAAGAACTCTATTACAACCACAACCACTCTACTCTGTTGTCTAAGCTTACGGGTATACTTCCTGCACTGTTCCATGCACTA